GATGGTTTATATGTATTATCTGGTAACCATGTTACAAATGTTGTATACTCAAATGTCAAACCACATGATGAATGTGTTCACTTGCTTCACAGACGTATGGGGCATATCAGTTTTAAGATGTTACAGAAAACTGTAAAATTAGTTGATGGATTGAAGCTGAAACCATGTAACCAGTATTTAAATTGCAATATTTGTAATCAGCAGAAAAGTAGAACAATCCTTGCTAATAGGTTTGAGGGTTTAAAACGAAGAGACCACTGGAAGTGGTATTTGCTGATTTAATAGGGCCAATGAAGGCTAGTTTAGGGGGTGCTTGCTATGTTCTCAGTATAGTTGACCATTATTCCAGGTATGGTTTTTGCTACCTATTGAAGTCTAAGATAGATACTTTTCGGTATTTTGTTCAATGGATTAAGTTTGTGGAGAGGAAAACAAATCAAAAAATAGTTACTATTGTAACTGACAATGGTACTGAGTTTGTCAACACAAGGTTTAAATCAATGTTAGCTAATGCTGGTATAAAGCACAAATGTTCAGCTCCATATCGACCACAGCATAACTCGTATGTTGAAAGGAGAGGACAAACTCTACAAGCATTGATGAGATCAATGTTAGCTGATGCAGGTTTACCGGCTAATTTATGGGGAGAAGCCATTATGTGTGCAAATACACTCTTAAACAACACCATAAATACAACCACTAACAAAATTCCATATACCGTATGGCATGGAAGGAAGCCAGATTTGAGCTACATACACACATTTGGATCACCTGCATGGGTACATACTCCAGCACAGTTAAGGCGTAAGGGCCAGAGTAGGGCACAACAATTAATATTTGTTGGTTATAATTCAAACCACAGGTCCTACAGATTTTGGGTAAAAGGAACAGCAACGGTAGTTAACAGTGCAAATGCCAGGTTTATGGAGCATGTAGGGTAGAATAAATTAGGTACTGAAAATGAGGTTATCATTGAAACTCAGACTGAAGCTACCAATGAAATACCAGAGATCCAGAGCGAAGAGGTAGAGAAAGACATAGTACAGGAAGAGGTTAAGGTAGAGAGGCAATCTGTAAGTCCTGAACTTCCAAGAAGGTCGAGTAGAGTAACAAGACCACCTGATAGGTATCAGGCAACTACAGTCTATCAAGTAAATAAAGTCCCTACTACATTTAATGAGTTGACCACGTTTCCACCTGAAGACCAGAAAGTGTGGAGAGGTGCAATGACTAAAGAACTACAATCTTTGCAGAATTTGCAAGTGTATGAGTCTGTAACAATTCCAAAAGGGAAAACTATACTCAGTAGTAAGTGGGTATATAAATTAAAAACTGGGATAGATGGGATACCAATATATAAGGCTAGGCTAGTAGCTCAAGGATTTAATCAGTCTCCTAATGATTACGATGAAGTATTCGCTCCAAGTTTAAAAGCCATTACATTACGAGCAGCGTTGGTATGGGCAGCTAGAAATAAATATATAGTTACCCATTTAGATGTAGAGACCGCATATCTGCATGCACCATTACAGCATGAAATTTATTTAAAGAAACCCTCAGGATTTGAGGAAAATGGGAAGGCTGACTGTTGGTTATTAAAGAAAAGTCTGTATGGGTTAAAACAGTCAGGTTATGAATGGAACCAGTGCATTGTAAAAACATTGAAGAATATCGGATTTAAAGCAGGATTAGCAGATCCATGTTTATTTAAAATGGAATGGTATAGTATCATTATTACTTCTTTTTACGGACGATATAGCTCTGATTACAAAGAACGAACAAGAGGCCAACAGGATTGTTGATGAATTAAAAGCTCATGTCAGGATTAAAAATCTAGGGGAGATGCAACAATACCTAGGTGTAAGGATCGAAAAAACTAGGGGAGGATTTAAATTATCCCAAACTGATAAAATTAATAATCTATTACAATAGTTCAGAATGGAATTGTGTAAACCATCAAAGACACCTATGGCTCAAGATTATTGCAACACTGATGTGCAAAGTCCGTTGTTTGATAAAGGGATATACCAATCGTTGATTGGCAGTTTATCATACATTAGCAATTGGTCTAGACCCGATATTTCTTATAGCTAGATTCAACATGGAACCTACAGAAAGACACTAGCAAGTAGCAAAACGTATTCTTAGATATCTGAAATATACCATGCATCATGCCTTGTATCTACAACCATCAGAAGAATTGCATGTAACCGCTTATGCAGATGCTAGTTTCGCAACAGATGTGAATACAAGAAAATCAACCTCAAGAATCGCTGTATTTCTGGGAAAATCTTTGATATGGTGGCGTTCAATAAGACAGAAGCATTTAAGTATGTCTACAATGGAAGCAGAGTTTTCTTGTTTATTTTTGTTATGTACGGATTTGATCAGTATTAAGCAGCTGATTTAGGAATAGATATACAAGATCCTATAATAGTATATGAAGATAATCAGGCAGCGATAAAAATGGCGACAAATATAGCTGTAAAGACTAGAACAAAACATACAGATCTTCGATATCTCAATGTAAGAGAATGTATAAAGAACAAGATGATAGAGCTTGTATATTGTGCATCAGAAAACAATGTGGCAGATCATTTCACAAAAGCACAGGGAAGTAGGAAACATATAGATACATGTGAACAGTATGGTTTAAGATTGTAAATATATTAGTCTACCCAAAGGGGAGAATGTTGGATCCTTATGGAACAGGCTCAGACTCAACCCCTCCAAGACCGAGTGGCTGTGGCTTCCGGCGCCCCGATATAGTCAGCAGGTGCCATCGCTGACTATTGGGGGTGAATCTTTGCCCCCCACAGAGAGGGCTCGCAATCTGGGTGTCCTCCTGGACGCACGGCTGTCTTTAGAAGAGCACATGACGGCCGTGGCCAGGGGGGCCTTTTATCAGGTTCGCCTGATTCGCCAGTTGCAGCCCTTTCTGGATCGGGACGCCTTGCGCACGGTCACTCACGCCCTTGTCACCTCCCGGTTGGACTATTGTAATGCTCTCTACATGGGGCTCCCCTTGAAGAGCACTCGGAGGCTCCAACTGGTCCAGAATGCGGCCGCGCGGGTGGTTATGGGTGCAACCCGTTGCGCCCACGTGACACCCCTCCTGCGCGAGCTGCACTGGCTCCCAGTGGTCTTCCGGGTGCGATTCAAGGTGTTGGTTACCACCTTTAAAGCGCTCCATGGCATAGGACCCGGGTACCTTCGAGACCGTCTTCTGCCACCAATAGCCTCCCACCGACCAGTCCGCTCCCACAGAGAGGGTCTCCTCCGGGTGCCATCAGCCAAGTTATGTCGGCTGGCGACATCCAGGGGGAGGGCCTTCTCTGTGGGAGCTCCAGCCCTGTGGAATGAACTGCCCCCCGAAATACGAAAGATTTCCGACCTCCGGGTGTTTCGCTGCTCTCTGAAGACCCTGTTGTTCCGCCAGGCAGGGTTACTAACATAACGTTTTAAATTGGGGTATTTTAAATTTCTGGGATTTTAATTGGAGCCTAATTATTTAATGATTTTAAATTTTAAATTGTTGTCGTGTTTTTTGTGTTTTTAAATAGGCTGTACACCGCCCTGAGTCCTTCGGGAGAAGGGCGGTATAGAAATAAAATTATTATTATTATTATTATTATTATTATCCTATGGTTGGGTAGATAATATGTACTGTAACTTTAACTGCTACAAGTTGACTAATTGATTAAGTGGTTAAAACAGAAATAAAAGGAAGGCAGGAAGTTCATTCACTCCTGCTCCTGATATTGCTGCTAAAGATACTGTGACAACTAGAACTGTAAGCAAACTTTGTTTTGTATTGAAAGTGTTATCTTTGTTTATGAGAAGCCAGGTTTGTTTGTTTTACAACAAGTAAAGACTATTTATTTTTCTAACAACGTTCAGAGTCTAAGAGTATCTGTGTTGCAACGCTGTCTGGTCCGTCGCTCTACTCTGCAGAGGGCAGTTTACCCTCAACATAGTCCAGGGTGTCAAACTCGATTTCATTGAGGCCCACATCAGGGTTGTGTTTGACCTCTGGGGGCCGGAGTGGGCATGGCCAGGTTGGGCGTGGCCAGATCGATATCACTCACATTGGGGGCGCCTCTGGTGCCCCAAGCGCTCTGCCAGAGAAAACTGGCTCCCAAGCTGTTTTTGGTTGCGATGGCTTCCTGCAAACCTCTGAACTCGGGAGGGCTGCATCCGGCCACCAGCCCTTGAGTTTGACACCCCTCGTCTAGTCTACTGAAAAGGACAAGGGGAGGCATGATAGGAGTCTTCCAATATTTGAGTGGCTGCCACAAAGAGGAGGGTCTCAAGTTATCTTCCTAAACACTAGAAGGCAAGACATGGAACAATGGATGGAAACTAACAAAGGAGAGAAGCAACCTGGAAACTTACAGTGTGAATTAATAAGTGCCTTCAGCTTGCCTTCAGAAGTTGTGGGTGCTTCATCACTGGAAGTTTTAAAAAATAGATTGGATAGTCACTTGTCTGAAATGGGATAGAGTCTCCTGCTTGAGCAGGGGGTTGGAACAGAAGACCTCCATGGTCCCTTCCAACTCTATTTATTCATTGTATCATTGATCTTGAAAGCTGCAGGCTTGAATTTGCTGTGGGAGCACCAGGAACAGGTCAATGGGTAGATTTTGTGGGGAGGAAGAAGTTCCAGTTTGGTGTAGTGGGGAAGGCACCAGGATAGAGACAGAGAAACGCTCAGTTCCAGTCCCACCTGTTGAACTTTGGCCAGTCCTCTCAGCCCTTGGAAGCAGGAAATGGGGGGGAGGGAACCCCGGGGGGGGGGAACCCCTCCCAAAAACCCTTCCAAAGGAAACTGCAAGGCCAGGCATCTAGACTGACCCAAAGGCACCAAAAACGAAGTAGCATCACTTTTTCACTTGGCTCAGTTGCAAAGGTCGGTTGCTGGGAATCGAAAACGACGTGCTGCAATGTAATCACAGGAAACCTCTTCCAAACGCCTTGGTGGAGATTGGAAAAGCGTGTTTTTCCACCTCCTGTCGCTAGATGGCGGTCAGGCAACACCTGTGCCTAGAAAGCCATCAACACTGCATTGCTAGAAAGGCTGGGAAGAGAGGAGAAGCGCAGAGGAACTTCCTCTTCCGGATGACTGATGGGAGGCAAGTGGAATGCAGAGCGGCTTTTGTGCTGTTTCCATGGTGGAAGCAGCAGCTGGCAGGTGAGTGGAGGGCAGCAGGTGGGAGGAGAGTCCGGGAGCAACTTGGGCTGGAAGCGGAGAAGCAACTGGGCTGAAGCCTCTCAGCTGCGGCTGCTGCAGGTTCCTTCCCTCCCCAAATGGAAGCCCACTGGTGCTGCAGGCTGGGAAACTGGGGGCTGCAATTTCTGCTGGTGGGAAGCTTGAAAAAGCCTCTTTCAAGGGGAGGTTGGTTCTTTGGGAATGGCTTCCCTCCAGAGGTTGTGGCTGCTCCGTCCCTGGAGGGTTTTGAGGGGCGATTGGGCAGCCATTTGTTCTGGACGGAATAGGGTCTCCTGCCTGAACAGGGGATGGACTAGAAGACCTCCAAGGTCCCCCAACTCAATTCTTCTCTTATGGACCTGATGTTTTCTGGGCAACAAGATCAGATTTATGTGTCTCTGGTCTTTTTTGGGTTGTTCTTGTTTTGTTCTACTTCCATTTCTAGCTAACAAGTATGTGTTTCCTATTGGTGCCCCCCCAGGCTCCACTGTGCTTAACCCAGCACTTTTTAAAAAATAGCTATTGAATGTTTGAACTGTCCAGGTGTATTTATTTATAAAATGTATTGGCCACCAACCTTACCGTGACATAACTGCGATTGACAGATATGGCTCAGTGAAATAAGAGACAGAGTCCAAGTGTGTGTGTGTGTGTGTGTGTTGATAAGCCAATGCATTTCTTCATCTTCCTAAGAAGGAAGGAACCCTGAGTGTAGTGAAAGGCAGATATTTATACATTTCTTTGCTTTCGCTTCATTACATAAGAGGCAGTTGGCACATGACAGAGAAGATATAGAAATTATAAAAATAGTCAAGTTTGCCTTCTGTGGTTTTGGTCACGTGGCTAACCCATAGGCTTGTGTTTCCTATGAAATTTTCCATGGCTTCAAAAGCCTTTTGAGGCCTGAACTTCAGCCTTGCCATCTCAACATATGAGCAATCATCCAATTCATCCAATTCCTGATTAACAATAGCTCAGAAGGTTTGAGATGTTTTTCAGACTTCAAAGACATGAATTATCTTCATGTTGTAGGTGTGTGTATTTTTATTTCTGAATGTACATACCTGCAAATGTATAATCTATCCCCAGGACCTCCAGATAAACAGTCATGTCAAAAAGAAATTATACTCTCCTTGACTTTTATGATTTTACGTATTGGGGCATAGTAAAAATCAATTGGTCCTTAGAAGTTCTTAATAGTCAGTAAATACAACCATAGATGAACAATAACACATGAAATATTACATCAGGTCATCATTTATTTTATAAAAAGGAAGCCAAAACGGTGAAGTCATGTATGAAAAATGTATGATTCAATAATTTGTAGAACTATCTTTAGCAGCAACAACTAGAAGTAATTCTTTTCTGTGTGACTTTATCAGTCTCTTGCAGTGTTGTAGAGGAATTTTGGCCCACTCTTTTTTACAACATTGCTTCAGTTCATTGAGGTTTGAGGGTGTTTTTTTATGCACAACTCTCTTGAGGTCCTGCCAATTGGGTTGAGGTCTAGACTTTGACTGCAGCACCTTGATTCTTTTTCAGCCATTTTGTTGTAGATTTGCTGATGTGTTTTGCGACCATTATCCTGTTGCATAATCCTTTGTCAGCCAAGCTTTAGCTATTGGTGAGATGGCCTGTGGCCCAATTACATTATGGCCAACCATCTCCACTTTGGTCTGGTCTGTGCAAAGGACAGTGTTCCCGAAGTCCTGTGATTTGTTCAGATGCAACTTTGCAAACAACAGCCATGTGCTATGACCTTTTTAGAGAGAAGAGGCTTTCTCCATTCAACCCTTCCAAACGAACCATACTTCTTCAGTATTTCTCTAATTCCATTGTTATGAATCTTAACATTTAACATGCTTATTGAAGCCTGTAGAGCAGGGGCGTCAAACATGCGTCATCACAGCATGATCATGTGATCACAACTTTTTCCCCTTCTTTAAACGTGGCCGTGGCCAGCGTGTGACCCATCTGGCGCACAGGCCACTAGTTTGACAGCCCAGCTGTAGAGTCTAAGATATAACTCATTGCAATTTCTCTGGCCATTGCACCGTCTGACCTTGGGCTGAATTTCCTTGAACGTCCACTCCTGGGAAGATTAGCAACTCTCCTGAATGCTTTACACTTGTCTTCCGCACTGTAGAATGATGGGTTTTTAATTGTTTGGAAATGATCTTTTAAACCTTCCCAAATTGATGGGCAGCAACAATTTCTTCTCTAAGATCATTGCTGATTCTTTATTCTTTGGCATTGTGTTAACACACAACTCAGTGTCAGAGATAGATGTAATCATACTTGCTGATGATCAATTGATGAAGGGCATTTTATTAGCAGTACGTGGCTGCTACTTCCCCTCTTTATACTATGGAAGCAGTGAGAAATTTCCTAATGGTGAGAACAAATAACCAGCAGAACAGCTGGCCTTCAGAAGTTGTGGTGCTCCATCACTGGAGGCTTTTCAGAAGAGATGAGACAGCCATTTGTCTGAAATGATATAGGGTGACCTCCAAGGTCCCTTCCAATTCTGTTATTCTCTTCTGTTCTGTTGCGATGATATTTATGATACCCTGATAAGTAAAACCACAAGAAATCAAAGCAGGTGTAGTTTCTTTTTCAATTGATTGTATTTGAAAACAACCCTTTGCATTGCTAAGAATTTGTGATTGACTGAAGTCAACAATCGAATTAGAATCATTGAATGGATATTCGAACTTGGATCTGGGTGGTCTTCCATGTGTCAATTGAATCATGATCAATGTAAGAGGTTATTGGAGCATTGTGGCATGTTTGCTTTTTCATTATAATGTAAACTTTTTTCTTCTTTTCTCATCTTCTGCAACCATTTTATGCGCAATTAAAAATACATTTTTATTTGAATCTTATAGACAAAGAAGATGGCAATGAGCACTCTGGACAACTGAGGATAACAAACAACTTTGAATAGCAAAACAAGTCAGTCCAGAAATCAAAATATTTTCCATTTCCTTCAGAGAGTCCCCCAGCAGGTGAGAGAGAAATGAGAGAAAATCAAGAAGAGATTTCTAACTGGAAAAATAGAGTGTGAAATTAAAGCATACGTTACATGAAAAGTCAAGGGAGATTATTTTTCCATTCAGGAAAAGAGGGAAATATCTGGAAGTTACTGGGGAGGAAGCCACGTAGAGCAGACAGTGTTGCAGGCCTCGCTCTGGGAGGAAGAAAATCACCAGTAAATCAAAGCAGCACTAAAGATATTATCCATATTTTTGACCACCTCAAGAATATTAGTTGTGGAAAAGATCCATAGACGTTTCTGTTCTGAGAAAGATACAACTTGCAAATCACAGCTGATTATGCCAGAGGGGATCCAGACTGGAGAAAAACTGTACAAATACTCTGAATGTGGCAAAAGCTTTGGTCAGAACAACTCCATTTTCTTTCATGGAAGGACCCACAGAAGAGAGAAGCCCTACAAATGTTCCCAATGCGGTAAATGCTTTAGCAAGCATGGCAACGTGGACTCACACCAAGGAGAAACCCTTTGAATGTCCTGATTGTGGGAAATATTTCAGTCAGAATTCCAGCCTGGTTAAACACCAGAGGACTCACACAGGAGAGAAACCATTTGAATGTCCTGATTGTGGGAAAAGTTTCAGTCAAAATTGCAACCTCATTGACCACCAGAGGACTCACACAGGAGAGAAACCCTTTGAATGTCCTGACTGTGGGAAAAGTTTCAGTCAAAATTCCACCCTGGTTAAACACCAGAGGATTCACACAGGAGAGAAACCCTTTGAATGTCCCGACTGTGGGAAAAGTTTCACTTGGAATTCCAGCCTGGTTAAACACCAGAGGATTCACACAGGAGTGAAACCTTTTGAATGTCCCGACTGTGGGAAAAGTTTCAGTCGGAATTCCAACCTCATTGGCCACCAGAGGACTCACACAGGAGAGAAATCCTTTGAATGTCCTGACTGTGGGAAAAGTTTCAGTCAAAATTGCAACCTCATTGACCGCCAGAGGACTCACACAGGAGAGAAATCCTTTGAATGTCCTGATTGTGGGAAAAGTTTCAGTTGGAATTCCAGCCTGGTTAAACACCAGAGGATTCACACAGGAGTGAAACCTTTTGAATGTCCTGACTGTGGGAAAAGTTTCAGTTGGAATTCCAACCTCCTTGACCACCAGAGGACTCACACAGGAGAGAAACCCTTTGAATGTCCTGACTGTGAGAAAAGTTTCAGTACCAATTTCAGCCTCGTGACACACCAGAGAATTCACACAGGAGAAAAACCCTTTAAATGTCCTGACTGTGGGAAAAGTTTCAGTCAGAATTCCAACCTCATTAGCCACCAGAGGACCCACACAGGAGAGAAACCCTTTGAATGTCCTGACTGTGGGAAAAGTTTCAGTCGGAATTCCAACCTCATTGGCCACCAGAGGACTCACACAGGAGAGAAACCCTTTGAATGTCCTGACTGTGGGAAAAGTTTCAGTCAATATTTCAACCTCATTGGCCACCAGAGGACTCACACAGGAGAGAAACCCTTCGAATGTCCTGACTGTGGGAAATGTTTCAGTCAGAATTCCAGCCTGGTTCAACACCAAAGGATTCACACAGGAGTGAAACCCTTTGAATGTCCTGATTGTGGGAAAAGTTTCCGTCAGATTTCCAGCCTGGTTAAACATCAGAGGATTCACACAGGAGAGAAACCATTTGAATGTCCTGATTGTGGAAAACGTTTCAGTGAAAATTCTAGCTTGGTTAGACACCAGAGAACTCACACAGGAGAGAAACCATATGAGTGTCCAGACTGTGGGAAAGATTTCAGTACTAAGGATAGCCTTCTAAATCATACACACAGGGGAAAAACCATTTAAGTGCCCCGAGTGTGCATGATGCTTCAGGAAACCTTCCAACCTTATCGTACACAAGAAAATCCACATGAGGCCCAAAGTGATGAGTGTAGACAGAGTTTGAATTTCATTTCTAATGTCACATTGTAAGTCCAGCTGAGAAATTGTCTATTTAATTTGACTACAAAGAATTTGCCTGATTTTTTGTAGGCAAATATGTCATGATATTAGTTAGAAAGGAAGAAAGAAAAAATTGGAACATACTAGTTTGATAAAGGCTATCTGGCCATCAGCAGCAGAAGTTGCTGAATATTTATTTTTGCAGAAATTGTGCAGTTATGTAAAAATCTTTTTGGGAGTGTTCTTTGCATTTTTATCATGGTAGATGATAGAAATGCCACAGGCATAGTCCCAGCCTTTTTTTTCCCTGGGTGCCCCCGAGATTTTCAGCCCCAGAATTCCCCCAGCCAGCATCTCTTTGGGATAGGAGCACTCAGACTATAGTTAAGAGATTGTGGCTCCTCATATAATAGAAATAGTACCTTGACTTATTTACCGCTTCACAGTGCTTTATAGCCCTCTCTAAGTGGTTTACATAGTCAGCATATTGCCCCCAACAATCTGGGTCCTCATTTTACCGACCTCGGAAAGATAGAAAGCCAAGTCAACCTTGAGCCGGTGGGAATTGAGCTGCCAAACTGCGCCACCATGGCTCTTATGAGGAGAAAGTGAGCGTAGAGTGGAGGGATTCAAAATTCTTCTTTTCCTAACTGTTCCAGGAATTCAGCGCACGAAGCATGTCTGTTCAGATTGTGTCAAGAATGAGGCACGCAAGTGGAAGAAACCACATGAATAGCAAATATTTTGGGGGAATTTGGGGCAGTGACAAAACCAGTGTAAAATTTCAGATGTAAAGGCTGTTCTGCCCTGCAGGTGACCTTCATGAAGAAGAGCTGTAGAAATAGTTGAGGAGAAAAGGGATTGTGGTTTTCAGCACAGGATCTCCAGGTTTATTCACAACTCCTGCTGTGATCTCCTTTGTTTTTAGGGGCCTCCTTGTTAAGACTTTGACAGCTGGGGCCTGAGAGCAGCACCAAGGGACTGATACTTTTGTGGTTCTCCCCCCTTGGTGGGGAAATGTGAGAAAAAAATTGTACAGTAGATAATCAAGCAAAATTAAATGAAGCCAATCTAAGAGTCAGAGGGGATGGTCTATAGAGCGAGGTCAAAAGCCATAAATCCCCACTCAGACGAACAGTCCATTTCCTCAGAATTAAAAGTTGAAGCTCAGATTGAAAGGTGGAAAGTAGGTGTTATATTTGGAAGATACTGGATCTTAAAAACTGCAGCCTTGAATTTGGGGCTGGAGTAGCAGGAACAGCTGCATGGATAGATTTTTTGGGGAGGAAGAAAGCTCAGTTTGGTGGTCACCAGGCTACAGCCTGAGAGACGCTTATTTCCGGTCCTGCTTTAGGCACAAAGCCATCTCAGAGGCCCTGGCCTGTCCCGTCCGCTCAGGTCTTTGAAGGGAAATCTGCTTACAAAAAATCTTGCCAAGGAAACTGCAGAGAAACGGGAGTGCAGGATAACTCCCCAAAACCTACTTTTGCAACTTTGGAGAGTGAAGCCTGACCTACTTAGCTTCCCAAGATTAGGGACGTGTTGTGCCATAAATATTTATGAAGTTCTTGTTTGTATGCACAGCTGCTAAATTATTTCCAGCTTCATCCTATGAATAGAATAATGAAACCTGGAACAATAACAATAACACCCACCTTCCAAACCACATCTAGATAGGAGAGATTCTTTCTGTCTGCATCCTTGCAGAGCCTAAATCTCACTTGGGGGAAGACTTGCTCTGAGCAGCCTTCCCAATCTCCACAGGAGTTAGCTTTATTATTCCCAAACAGTTTGGGCAAAAGACTTGGAGAGCTATACTTTCCAGAAAGCTGATGTATAGATTTCTGCACTTTCTTAGGGGTGACTCAATGGAGATCAAAACCTCTCTACATCCCCCAAACTTTATGACTGATTTCCTGTGTCTGCCAAGGATTTAAGACCCAGGAGAATCAGTGGGTCAGAGGCTCAAAGGGAGCCAGCTTCATTCCTGCTGCCCAGAGATGCTTCCAAGCACACCCATGCTAAATGCCTTGTGCGTCTGTAACTTTGCATACACAGAAGTCTCCATTAGGTCAAAGTGAGAAAGTCACATACCCAGCAGGGCTGGAAAAGGGGGTTTAACAAGAGGAGATGACTGCCTGTATATGGTAAGAGCAATGTTTCCAAAAGGCATTTCCAAGGGCTGGAAAAAAGATTGGTAATACAGATGTTCATGCAACAATGTACCACTCTTTGTTTGATACCCATTCCTTTTTTTAAATTCAATATATTAATCTAATAAAATATACAAAATCCTTGCCAAGGAAACTGCAAGGCCAGGCATCAAGACTGACTCTTTGTTTGATACACATTCCTTTTTTTAATTAGAAAATTTAATCTAATAAAATATATAAATCAAATAAAAACAAAGAATGGATAGAGAGAAGCAGGAAAGGAATCGAAAAAAGAAAAATATAATTGCACCTTCCTCCTTTTTCTCTGTTGAGAAATTGTCATCACGCATTCTTATATAGAAATTATCTCTGCTCAGTTGACCAGAATAAAAACTTCCTTAGAAACGGATCCTGGCCTGAAGTCCATTCCTCAGAGAAATCCAGTCCAACATTTCCCTTCCACATTGCTCGTAGGAACAGGGAGATTTTCTCAATGTACAGGTAGCAAGCAGTAACCAGATCCTCATGGTTGAATCCCACATAAGGACTTAATGGGCCAGGTGGGATCCCAAGGAATGAGACGGGACCAGCAAGCCATGTTTTTCATAGCTTGCTTCCCAGGGATCTCATATCCCACAGCAGATGTACAACAGGAGCGCACACATACAGATTCACTATAGTTGTTGGGACCCACCAAACTTCTTCAAACAGAATTTTACTGGAACTAATAAATGTGATTTCAGAACCATTGTAACATACTGTATGTTTCAAAGTCCTTGGAGCACGGGGGAACTAGAGGTAGTCCTCAACTTACAATAGTTAATTTGGTGACCGTAGTTACGATGACACTGAAAAAAGTGATTTATGATCATTTATCACACGACCGTTGTAGCATCCCCCTGGTCATGTGATTTACATTCAGATGTTTGACAACTGACATTTATGACAGTTGTAGTGTCCCGGAGTCATGTGATCCCCTTTTGTGACATGCTATCAACCAAACTCAATGGGGAAACCAGATTCACTTAACAACAGTGTAACTCATTTAACAATGGCAATGATTCATTAACAAATGTGGCAAGAAAAGTCATAAAACGGGGCAAAATTCACATAACAAGTTTTTCGCTTAACAACATAAATTTTGGACTCAATTGTGGTTGTAATTTCAGGACTACCTGTAACTGAGGACTGGAAAAGAGCTGATAGGGTCCCCATCTTCAAAAAGGTAAAAAATATGCAGGAATTTACAGACAAATCAGCCTGACATTAATATCTGGTAATATCTTGGAAAACATATCCAAGCAAAAAATCTGTGAACACCTAGAAGCAAACAAGTTACAACCATTAGCCAACATGGGTTGATCCAGTGGTGAAATCCTCCATGGAAAATAATTTCATTATTTGACAAAGTGACTAAATTAGTGGACCAGAGAAATGTTGAGGACATAGTATACTTAGTTTTCAGTAAATCATTTGATTAAGTAGATCACAACCTACTTCTTTGCAAGGTAAAAAAGTGTGAGCTTGAATAGTGGCCCCTATCTAACAAAATGATATTCAACAAAGATAAAAATAAAGTTTTACACTTCGACAAGAAAAACCAATTGCATAGGTATAATTAAACTAGGTGAAACCTGGTTTAATTCCCGTAACTGTGAGAGGGATCTTGGAGTCCTAGGGGATAGCAGGGTGGATTTGATTTAAATCAAACTGATTTAAATCACCATTTAAATCACCATTTAAATCGCTAGTCAGTAAGGCTTGATTTAAATCATAGTTTTCTACATAAAGACTAATTCTTGCTGGTATAACTTTAATATGCAAGTAGATGAAGATTTTTAGAATAACAACTTTTCATATTAGTTTTTTTATCCCCAGTTTAATAGGTTAATCATTCATATTTGGACAACTTTTCTGTTGTACTTAGGAATCATTACCTTAATAATAACAATTTAAATAGATTTATTCAACTGAAACAATAACATTACAGCATATGTTGTTTGCTTAAACAAACATCCATGTTTGTTAACTAATTTGGCTAAACAAAATATATATATTTTAAGAAACTTAGACTGTCAGCCCAGCCTACACATGAAAAGCTTAAATACTGTCCTCTGTAGCTCACTCGTCATCTTCATCTTCTTCTTTGTTCATAATTTGGAAAAGAAAAACAAGCTTTCCTGCTTTATCGGGTCCCAAACGATTTCTCAATTTAGAATGAGTCCAAAGGAAGAGAATATTCTTTCAACGCCTGCAGAAGAAGCTACTGCTGTTAAAAGTGAAATCATTACTTGAAAGTCTCTAAATCCAAATGCTTAAGTGACTTCCACCAGTTCACTGGTGTGACTTTCTTTAAAATATCTTCAGCAAACATATATTTCTTGAATGGTTCCCCCTTAGCTTTGAAGTTTATTATAGTTGCCATTACAGATGGATGATTGCTGGATACCCATGTCATAGCTAACTCCTCTTCCTCAGCACTTAAGTTTTGACCCTGATACTGGATATTGACAATATTTGCCAAAAAATGAGCTGGAGACAGTACTTGTCCCATTTGTTTTTTTAATGCTTGTAATTTAATTCTGGCCATGTGTAGTTCTGTTTTTAAGTGTTCACTCAGTTCCTTCCAAATTTCAACAGCATCAGCAATAAAACAGCTATTTTTCTGTATTTTGTTTAAAGCTTTAGAGATGGGTTTCAGGATGCTTAGCATAAGTTCAACATTTCTCTTAAACCCAATGTTGAGGATTTTGGCCGTGACAGTGCCATCTATTTTATCTCGATTTTCTTCACAAACTGTCATCAGAATAGGCCAGTTCTTGATATACTGCTCAAAACAGTCCACCACAGAGTTCCATCTAACATCTTGTGGGAGCGTTAGCTTGGTTCCACCCATCCTTTTCAGAGCTGCTGCAGCAAAATGATTGTTACGGAAGTATTTAGCAATTTCAACAACATTAGTCTTTATTTCTGGAACACTTAAGTCTTTGGCTAAGAGATGCAGCAAATGAGCACTGCAACCATATGTTATTAGCTTTGTATTTCCTTCCTGCTCTTCTAAATTTCTTCTCATCTTGGATACATTTGCAGCATTGTCTGTGACCAAACTGCGTACTAGACATTTGAATTTTTGTTCACATGTTATTATAGCTTTTACTGCCACTTCTTGTAAGTATTCTGCTGTGTGTGCATTTCCTGACGTATCAATTGTTTGTGCAAGGAAGACTTTCCTTTCTTCTGTTGCTACAAGCACATACAATAGGGTCATTGTGGACATTACTCCACCCATCAATACTTAGGTTAACAATTCTACCCTCCATAGCTGTTGCACATTGCTCCATTTCTCTGTCATACACTTTATCCAGCAGTTTCCCTGCAACATCTGCTCTGCTGGGTGGACTGTATCCTGGTCTCAGTGACTGAACCATATTAATGAAATGTGGGTTCTCAGTCAGACGGAAAGAAGAGTTCGTTGCATAAACAAACTGGGCAATTTTTTCATCAATTAACTCTTTTTCTAATCTGCTAGTTTTTATCACAAACTTATCTATGGTGGTTCCAGGAGGGAAGGGTTTTTTCTTTCTTTTAGGTGATAGAGATATGTGGCTGTGGGTGTCTGATGATGATGATGCTAATGAAGCACTATCCTGGATGGATAACTCTGAAACTGTAGAACAGGAGGATGGTGATCTTGAAGGTGGATAGTTTCCAGAATCCATGAATTCCGCTAAACAAAAAAGTCAATGCTGTTATTTTATTGTTTATACAATTTCTGCTTATTGTACACAGCAGTACCCCAAAAGGAATATTTGCTTTTCTTCATAACTGTACCAAATGACAGTAACATGCAGTAATAATAAGAAATATAATTTTGCTTACCAACTTGCCTTACCGATAGGTAAAGGAACTTCATTAAAGTATTGCCAAACTGGGTCTCTTCTACGGCCTGCTGCCATTATAGGTTTTTTCCTCCAAGGAAAGAATGTGATAAACCTCAGGTCATACACACAAAAAGATCCAAAGACCTGTCTGTCTGTGGCTGTGCAGTATTGTGCTCAGAAAGTTTCACTTTCATTTTGTATTGCTTGTCTGCTTGCCCCTTCCTCTTCACATTTAGTTTCACTTTCTTCTTGTGCAGATCTATTCCACTCCAAACAATCAGAAAAATATTGTTTCTATTCTATTCACTGAACTTCTTGAAACTTAGCACTGAAGGGGTTGATTCTGTATTCATAGGTGTTATGTATGTATCTAATTTGTGCGGGAAATTCAAATGTACTGTGAATTCTGATTGGTTCTTGGTCGCCCCTGAAAAGTATATAAAGAGGGCTGTTGCCTGTGTTCCTTTGCTGAAGTCTCACCCTGAATTAAAGAGCTATTATTACTAGCCTGCTTGTGCCTCTCGTTATTCCCACGCTACAACATTGGCGATGAAGGTGGGATAGAGGACACAAGAGGCAATTCAAAAAGAGCTTGGAGTTTCAGCCAGGGTGACTAGCAAACACGGAGACACGGCATGTCTGCCTACGTTCCGCCAAAACCCTTCGACCCGACCTGAGAGAAATGGGGATCGTATCTGACCAAGTTCAAGTGCTCCCTGGAAGCGAGTGAAATGCAAGGGCTCTCAGCGAACAGAAAAAGGGCTCTGTTCTGCGGGCTAGACGTATTCGAGATGGCCGAATCCCTCTGCGAGCCAACCCCAGTCAAGACGGTTCCCTGGGACGTCCTTCAGGCCAACCTGAGAGCCCACTACGCTCCAGTTCCATCTAAATTCGTTCAGCGCTATGAACTCCGGCAACGAGTTCAAAAAGAAGGAGAGCCGGTCAGTGCTTATGTGGCCGCGCTCCGTAAAGCCGCAACACATTGTGACTACAGAGACTTAGACGACGCGTTACTTGAACAACTGATTTGCGGGGTTCGAGATACCCGGTTACAAAGGCGTCTTCTAGCCAAGCCAGACCTAACGCTAGCCGGCGCGCTAGACGAAGGCCGAGCACACGAGGCATCAACGAAAGCTTTGGAGGCGCTGCAGCGACCCAGTTCAAGCAAAGACGGGCCAAAAACAGCCCCCGTCCACAGAGAAGAGGTGCGAACCAGCACAGAGGAAGAGTCGGACGAGGACGTCTTCCATACAGAAAAGAAATCGAGCGAACAAAGCCGCCGCCACGAGAACTGCCCCAGCTGTGGCGGGGATCACGAGAGACATTCATGTAAATACAGAGAAGCCATTTGCAGGTGTTGCGACAGGAAAGGCCACCTAGCACGAGTTTGCAGAGCTCAATTTCCGCGTAGTCGAAAGTCACGTGACTACTGCGACCAACCAGAACCGGTTCGTTCAAAACAGCCAATCAAAGATGATGGCGTGAGAAAACGGCGCGAACCTCAAAAGCGGGAGACCTATAGCACGAGAATCGGCCAAGCCAGCACAACCGACGATGAGAAAGTCTACACGAAAGTAGAAATCCATGGCAGATCATGCGAAATGGAAATCGACACCGGGTCTACGTTATCGATCATGTCCTGGTCAACACTCAAGGCACTCCTGCCCAAGCTTCAGAAGAACCAGCTGTCCCGTCAGAAAATCCGCCTACTCGACTACCAGGGAAACTGAGTTCCCGTTGAAGGCGTGGGCACGTTCTGGGTCACCTACGGCAAGTTCCAGAAAGAGCTGCCCCTGACCGTCGTTAGCAAGCCCCTAGCAAGTCTACTGGGCATGAAATGGTTCCGGGCCCTCGGCATGGGCTTCACGGGCGTTCACAGCATCAGCGGATCATCACTTAAAGAAACCCTGCTCCACGAGTTTCGGGACGTTTTCGAAGAGACTCTAGGCAAGTACGTGGGGACCCCTATATCCTTTAATTTAGACCCCAACGTAGCGCCAATCAGACTGAAAGCAAGAGGAGTTCCATTTGCTTTAAAGCCCAAAATTGATGCGGAGTTCGACAAGCTCATTAAGCAAGGGGTGCTAGTTCCCGTAGATCACGCTAAGTGGGAAACCCCGATAGTCACACCAGTCAAATCGGATGGCTCAATTAGAATTTGCTCCGACTATAAATGTTCGATTAACAAGGCGTTGCAGCAGAGTGCCTATCCGGTTCCGATAGTCTACCATCTACTACACTCCCTGGGGCCTGGCAAGCTATTTGCAAAACTAGACCTTGCGCAGGCGTACCAGCAACTGCCAGTAGATGACGCTACGGCAGAATCACAGACAATAGTAACTCACAGAGGTGCCTTTAAATGCACCAGGCTTCAGTTTGGGGTCAGCATCCCCCCAGGACTCTTTCAAAGCACAATGGAGCGCCTACTACAAGGCCTCCCAGGTGTCGTCCCATATTTCGACGACGTTTTGATTAGTGGCCAAGATGAGACTCAGTTAGGCCAGAGGGTTAGACAAGTCCTAACGAGGTTCAGAGAAGCGGGACTTAAACTCAAGCGTACAAAATGCAAGATAGCGGTTCCATCAGTGGAATTCTTAGGCTACAGAACTGACGGCATAGGCATTCACCCCACAGAAAGCAAAGTTAGGGCCATTCAAAGCTCGCCCACCCCCAAGTCAAAATCCAAACTGCAGGCTTTCCTGGGCCTTCTCAATTTCTATACAATGTTTTTGAAACACAAAGCCACCGTTGCGGAGCCTCTGCACAGGCTCCTTGGAAAAAATGTTCCGTGGGTTTGGGGCAAGCGAGAAGCGGCCACATTCAACGCAGTAAAGAGACTTTTGTCTGAGGACAGTTTCCTCATCCAATACAATGCCGAACTACCTCTAGTATTGGTCTGTGATGCTTCCCCCTTTGGTGTAGGCGTGGTTTTAAGCCATAGACTGCCGAATGGGTTAGAGGCGCCCATCGCCTATTACTCTCGCACTTTGTCTAGTGCTGAAAGAAACTATAGCCAGCTAGATAGAGAGGCACTAGCGGCTGTAGCTGGGGTCAAAAAGTTTCACGAGCATTTGTTTGGCCGCACTTTTGAACTTATTACGGACCACCAACCTCTTTTGGGACTTTTGGCTGGAGATAAACCGACCCCGGCTGCTCTTTCCCCCTGGATGACCAGATGGTCCATTTTCTTAGCCGCGTACTTTTACAGACTGCTCCATCGGCCGGGCAAAACTTTAGGACATGCTGACCCCCTCAGTCGATGCCCCTTGCACGAACTGCTGGACAACCCGACCCCGGAAGCCCCTGTTTTACTGATTGGCATTGTTTCCCCGGGCCCCATTTCTTCAAACGAGGTGGCGAGGTTTTCTGCCAGAGACTCTGTTTTGTGCACTGTAATGCGCAATGCGCTGGGTAACGAGGGGTTGGCCTACCAAGGTGGACGGTGGTGACTTTCAATTGTACTTTAACAAAAAAAATGAACTGTCAATGTTGGGGGGTTGCTTGTTATGGGGAGACAGGGTGGTCATTCCTTCGCAGTTAAGGCACAGAGTTTTAGAAATTCTGCATGAGGGACACCCTGGTATTGTGCGTATGAAAGGCCTAGCTCGTAGTTATGTTTGGTGGCCGCATCTCGACCAAGATGTCACTGAGTGGGTGGGGAAGTGCAGGCCCTGCCAGGAGTCCCGCCCAGATCCGCCCATAGCTCCCGTTCGTGAATGGGAAAAACCAAAGGGGCCATGGGGGAGGATTCACATCGATTTCGCTGGCCCGTTCCACGGCGAGAATTTTCTTATTGTAGATGCATATTCTAAGTGGCTCGAAATTGTCCTAATGCCATCTACCACTTCTAAGGCCGTAATCAAAGTACTCAGAAAACTATTCACAACACACAGGTTGCCGGACACCCTGGTATCCGACAATGGCCCCCAATTCATGGCAACTCAATTTGAAGGCTACCTAGCCAAATTAGGCATAAGACATGAATTATCCGCTCCTTTTCATCCGGCTTCTAATGGCCTTGCAGAAAGATTTGTAAGAACGGCCAAAGAAGCTCTTTCCTGGCTTGATGCAGGGGATTGGCAGGCTAGAATAGATGAGTTCTTAGCGGTACAGCACGCCACCCCGTGCCCGACCTCAGGCCGCAGCCCAGCCAAGCTCTTAATGGGCCGAAAGTTAAAATGCGTTCTCGACCGACTGCATCCCAATTACTCCCCCGATAGCTTCAAGGGGGAAGTGGGAGGACTAAGACAATTCCAGGTGGGAACACCAGTTTTTGCTAGAAGCTACACCAATGGGCCCTTATGGGTAGAGGGAACCATCGTAGGAATTACCGGCCCAAAGTCATATACAGTCGATATAGGGCATGGTAAAATCTGGAGGAGGCATATAGATCAATTGCGTAAACGTTTACAAAATGAAAACTCATGTCCTAACTATCAAGGTCTTCCTGACACAGCTACCTCAAGCCCGAGTAAGCCGGAATACTTATCTGGCAACCCTGAGTTCCAGCGCCGCCCCAGTGAGTCGACACTCCCAGCCGGAGATAGCCACACCTCCGGAGAAATCCAGGAGGTTCCATTGGCGGAGCCGGGAGAGAAGGGAGGTCCCTCCGACCAGCTCGACGCCTCGCCAACAACTGAACTGCGCAGGTCAACCAGGATTAAGACACGCCCTGGTCACCTGCGTGATTTTGTATGTAAATATGTAAATAGATAGAATAAGTGCCTTCTGGGAGTGGAGGGGTGTTATGTATGTATCTAATTTGTGCGGGAAATTCAAATGTACTGTGAATTCTGATTGGTTCCTGGTCGCCCCTGAAAAGTATATAAAGAGGGCTGTTGCCTGTGTTCCTTTGCTGAAGTCTCACCCTGAATTAAAGAGCTGTTGTTACTAGCCTGCTTGTGCCTCTCGTTATTCCCGCGCTACAACAATAGGTTTGTAGAACAATAGGATTAAGGTCTTTTTCTCAACTCTGTTCATGTTATAACATTTTTGCTGTGAAGAAGAGACATGTGATCTCTGCTGAGTCAAATTCAGTTTTGAGAACTGCAAAAGTAAACCAAGCATCTGTGATAATATCTTGTAGGCAGAGAAACTATCTATCCCACTTTTTTCTAGCTTATGAAGAAGTAGGTTGTGGTCTATTCTGTCGAATGCCTTGCTGAAGTCTAAGTATATTATGTCCACAGGATTTTGCTGGTCTACTAATTTAGTCACTATGTTGAAGAATGAAATAAGATTGGTTTGGCATGATCTGTTTTTAACAAACCTGTACTGGCTGCTAATTATTACTTTACTCGTTTCTAGGTGTTGGCAGATCTGTTTCTTTATTATCTTTTCCAGTATCTTCCCAGGTATTGATGTTAGGCTGATTGGTCTGTAGTTTTGGTCTGTTTTTTTCCCCTTCTTGAAGATGGGAACCACATTAGCTCTTTTCCAGTCCTTTGGTAGTTCCCTGGTGTTCCAGGATTTTTGAAAGATGTGATGCAGTGGTTCTGAGATGACATCTGCCAGCTCCTTTAGAACTCTGGGATGTAATCCATCAGGTCCTGGTGATTTGTATTCATCAAGATCAGACAGGTGTTCTCTTACTATTTTTTTGTGATTGGCAGCAGCCAAAATTACCAATACAATCCCAGGCTGCATTAATAGAGGGATAGAATCAAGATCACATGAAGTTATAGTACTGCTTCACAAAGCCTTAGTAAGACCACACTTGGAATACTGCATCCAATTCTAGTCACCACAATATAAAAAGATATTGGGACTCTGGAAAGCATGCAGAGAAGAGCAACAAAGATGATTAGGGGACTGGAAGCTGAAACATACAAAGAACAGTTACACAAATTGGGTATGTCTAGTCTGTTGGATCCTTATCCTACGGTTGGGTAGATAATATGTACTGTAACTTTAACTGCTACAAGATGACTAATTGATTAAGTGGTTAAAACAGAAATAAAAGGAAGGCAGGAAGTTCATTCACTCCTGCTCACTCCTGCTCGTGATATTACTGCTAAAGATACTGTGACGGTGTTACAGAACTAGAACTGTAAGCAAACTTTGTTTTGTATTGAAAGTGTTATCTTTGTTTATGAGAAGCCAGGTTTGTTTGTTTTACAACAAGTAAAGACTATTTATTTTTCTAACAACGTTCAGAGTCTGAGAGTATCTGTGTTGCAACGCTGTCTGGTCCGTCGCTCTACTCTGCAGAGGGCAGTTTACCCTCAACATAGTCCAGGAGTGTCAAACTCGATTTCATTGAGGCCCACATCAGGGTTGTGTTTGACCTCTGGGGGCCGGAGAGGGCATGGCCAGGTTGGGCGTGGCCAGCTCGATATCACTCACATTGGGGGCGCCTCTGGTGGCCCAAGCACTCTGCCAGAGAAAACTGGCTCCCAAGCTGTTTTTGGTTGCGATGGCTTCCTGCAAACCTCTTCCAGGAAAAAGCTCGGGAGGGCTGCATCCGGCCACCAGCCCTTGAGTTTGACACCCCTCGTCTAGTCTAATGAAAAGGACAAGGGGAGGCATGATAGCAGTCTTCCAATATTTGAGTGGCTGCCACAAAGAGGAGGGTCTCAAGTTATCTTCCTAAACACTAGAAGGCAAGACATGGAACAATGGATGGAAACTAACGAAGGAGAGAAGCAACCTGGAAATGTGAATTGATGTGTGAATTAATAAGTGCCTTCAGCTTGCCTTCAGAAGTTGTGGGTGCTTCATCACTGGAAGTTTTAAAAAATAGATTGGATAGTCACTTGTCTGAAATGGTATAGAGTCTCCTGCTTGAGCAGGGGGTTGGAACAGAAGACCTCCATTGTCCCTTCCAACTCTATTTATTCATTGTATCATTGATCTTAAAAGCTGCAGCCTTGAATTTGCTGTGGGAGCACCAGGAACAGGTCAATGGGTAGATTTTGTGGGGAGGAAGAAGTTCCAGTTTGGTGTAATGGTGAAGGCACCAGGTTAGAGACAGAGAAACGCTCAGTTCCAGTCCCACCTGTTGAACTTTGGCCAGTCCTCTCAGCCCTTGGAAGCAGGAAATGGGGGGGAGGGAACCCCGGGGGGGGGGGGAACCCCTCCCAAAAACCCTTCCAAAGGAAACTGCAAGGCCAGGCATCTAGACTGACCCAAAGGCACCAAAAACGAAGTAGCATCACTTTTTCACTTGGCTCAGTTGCAAAGGTCGGTTGCTGGGAATCGAAAACGACGTGCTGCAATGTAATCACAGGAAACCTCTTCCAAACGCCTTGGTGGAGATTGGAAAAGCGTGTTTTTCCACCTCCTGTCGCTAGATGGCGGTCAGGCAACATCAGTGCCTAGAAAGCCATCAACACTGCATTGCTAGAAAGGCTGGGAGGAGAGGAGACGCGCAGAGGAACTTCCTCTTCCGGATGACTGATGGGAGGAAGGTGGTGTGTGCAGAGCGGCTTTTGTGCTGTTTCCATGGTGGAAGCAGCAGCTGGCAGGTGAGTGGAGGGCAGCAGGTGGGAGGAGAGTCCGGGAGCAACTTGGGCTGGAAGCGGAGAAGCAACTGGGCTGAAGCCTCTCAGCTGCGGCTGCTGCGGGTTCCTTCCCTCCCCAAATGGAAGCCCACTGGTGCTGCAGGCTGGGAAACTGGGGGCTGCAATTTCTGCTGGTGGGAAGCTTGAAAAAGCCTCTTTCAAGTGGAGGTTGGTTCTTTGGGAATGGCTTCCCTCCAGAGGTTGTGGCTGCTCCGTCCCTGGAGGGTTTTGAGGGGCGATTGGGCAGCCATTTGTTCTGGACGGAATAGGGTCTCCTGCCTGAACAGGGGATGGACTAGAAGACCTCCAAGGTCCCCCCAACTCAATTCTTCTCTTATGGACCTGATGTTTTCTGGGCAACAAGATCGGATTTATTTGCCTCTGGTCTTTTTTGGGTTGTTCTTGTTTTGTTCTACTTCCATTTCTAGCTAACAAGTATGTGTTTCCTATTGGTGCCCCCCCAGGCTCCACTGTGCTTAACCCAGCACTTTTTAAAAAATAGCTATTGAATGTTTGTATTTATTTATAAAATGTATTGGCCACCAACCTTACCGTGACATAACTGCGATTGACAGATATGGCTCAGTGAAATAAGAGACAGAGTCCAAGTGTGTGTGTGTTGATAAGCCAATGCATTTCTTCATCTTCCTAAGAAGGAAGGAACCCTGAGTGTAGTGAAAGGCAGATATTTATACATTTCTTTGCTTTCGCTTCATTACATAAGAGGCAGTTGGCACATGACAGAGAAGATATAGAAGTATAGAAATAATGAAAATAATCAAGTTTGCCTTCTGTGGTTTTGGTTATGTTCCTAACCCATAGGCTAGTGTTTCCTGTGAAATTTTCCATGGCTTCAAAAGGCTTTTTTTTTTTAATTGAAAAGTTTTATAAAAGATACAAACATTTTCTCCCCATCCCACTCACCCTTTCCCCCTCCCCCTTCCCCCCATCCCCCTCCCTAGACTTCCCAGAACAAGCACAGGGTATAGCATTCACAAACATAAAACTAAAATATGCTAACAATTTGTTGGCTTCAAATTCTCCCTAGGTCTTTAACTCCTTATAACTCAAAACACTATAAACATAAACTAAAGATTAAAAATGTTTCATTCATAAGCTGTATGAAACTTCTTAGTCTGATACTTGTTTTGAATATAGTCAATCCACCTTCTCCATTCCTATATATATATCTTTCGTTTGAGTAATCTTAAAATATGATGAAATTTTCGCCATCTCTGCCAAATGCACGACTTTTAATGTCCATTCCTCAATAGTAGGTGGGTCTTCTTTCTTCCAATACTGTGCCACCAGTAACCTGGCTGCTGTTATTAAGTTTAAAAACAACTTAGTCTCTGTCACAGTACAATCCGTAACTATTCCCAACAAAAAAAACCGTGGTGTAAATTTGATCTTTTTCTTTAAAATATTTTGAATAATCCACCATATTTTTATCCAAAAAGCCTTAATTTTTTTACATGTCCACCATATATGAAAATACGTAGCGTCTTCACACTCACATCGCCAACACTTAGGTTGTAAATTTGGATACATACAGGCCAGGTTTTTTGGATCTAAATGCCATCTATAAAAGATTTTATAAAAGTTCTCTCTTAAATTTTGGGCTTGTGTAAATCTTACATTTCTAACCCATATCTTTTCCCATGTTTCCATCATTATTGGTTCTCCTATATTTTGTGCCCATGTTATCATACAATTCTTGACTAGCTCTGTTCCTGAATCTATTTCCACTAATACATTATACAACCTTTTTATATGCATTTGACTTTTGTCTCTTATTTGTTTTATCAAGTTCTCATCCTGTTGCAAAATACCAGTTTTCTGATCTTCTCCCCATCTGGCCTGCAGCTGTCCATACTGAAACCAAGTTCTAATTATTCCTTCTTCTCTTAATTGTTCCATAGATTTTAGTTGTAATCTAACTCCTTCTTTATAAAGGAGTTCCTTATATGTAATCTTAACTTGTTTTTGTTCCACATTTATATTCTCTATCGCGTGTCTGGGTACTGTCCATATTGGTAACTTATCGTTTAATTTGTATTGATACTTCTTCCAGACACGCAATAAAGCATTCTTTAATATATGACTTTTAAAAGTCTTATCTACTTTCTTATCATACAATAAATAAGCATGCCAGCCGTAGACCAGACCATATCCTTCAATGTTTCATATCTTTTCCTCCGTTAAATTTATCCAATCAGTAACTGCTGAGAGGGCAGCGGCTTCGTAATACAATCTTAAAGTGGGCATTTTAAGACCTCCTCTTTCTCGCGTATCTTGCATTATCTTTTGATTTACTCTCGGTTTCTTCCCTGCCCACACAAATTTATTTATGCCCTTCTGCCATTCCTTCAAATTTTCACCTTTTTTAAGTATAGGTATCATTTGAAAAAAAAAAAAAACCTTAGTAAGACATTCATTTTTACTGCCGCTATCCTTCCCAGCAAGGACAATTGTAATTTTTTCCACTTTTCCATCTCTTTCTGTATTTTTTGCCACAACGGTTCATAATTGTGCTGATATAGTTTCATATTTGTGGTCACAATATAAACCCCTAAATATTTAACCTTCTTTCCTATCTCAAATCCTGTTACCCTTTCTATCTCTTCTTTTTGGCTTCTAGTCATATTTTTAGCTATTATTTTAGTTTTAGCTGTATTTATTTTAAAACCAGATACTTGTCCATATGGGTTAATTATATCCATCAAGGCTGTAATCGATTGTGCTGGTTGGGCTAAGGTAACAACCAGGTCATCCGCAAATGCTCGTAACTTATACTCATGCTGTCTGATTTTAATTCCCTTTATTGTATCTGTCCCACGTATTTTACTCAGTAAAATTTCCAGCGTCAAAATAAACAACAATGGAGACAAGGGACAACCTTGCCTTGTTCCTTTTTCTATATTAAAAATATCTGTTAAACCACCATTAATTATTATTTGCGCTGTTTGTTTCTGATATATTGCCTTAATAGATTGTATAAAATAATCTCCAAGTTGCATCCTTTCTGTTAATTTCAATAGAAAATGCCAATTCAATCTATCAAAGGCTTTCTCAGCATCGAAAAATACTAGCACTGCGGGGACCTGGTTGTTCCTCCCCAAATACTCTAGTAAGTTAACAATTTGCCTTACATTACTTTTCATTTGTCTACCATTTATAAAACCAATTTGATCATGATGAATCATTTGTTGCATAACTATCATTAATCTATTTGCTAATATTTTAGCAAAAATCTTATAATATGTATTTAAAAATGAAATCGGCCTGTAGTTTTTTGGATCTGTATGATCTTGACCCTCTTTTGGGATCAAAGAAATAAAAGCCGTCTTCCAAGTTGGAGGTACCTCTCCTCCCTGTTGTATATTGTTAAATAATTCCTTCAGTGGTTCCACCATTTCCTCCTGTAAACTTTTATAATAAACAGCTGTCAAACCATCCGTCCCAGGAGCTTTACCCACCTTCAACTGCTTAATTGCAAACAAAATTTCCTCGGAAGTAATCAATTGATTTAAACTATCCCTCTGCTCTTTTGAAGTTATATAACTGTTCTCTTTCTGCAAATATCTATCTATATCTGTATCTTGAATTTTATCACCAGTATACGGCCTTGAGTAAAACTCTAAAAAAGATTTTTTAATCAATTCTTGCTCATGAACCTCTTTACCCTTGTATTTTATTTTCTCGATAGTCCTTGATTTCTGCTTTTTCCTTAACAAATATGCTAACCATCTGCCAGGTTTATTGGCATTACAAAAAGTATTATGTTTAGCATATTGTAAATTAGTTGCCACTTGGTCTGCTATTAACATGTTAAATTGACCTTTCAGTAAATTAATTGCCTCTTTAATTCTCTTATCTGTTTAGCTATCAAAGCTCATTCTTGTTTTCTAATCTCTTCTTCTAGTTCCTTTCTTTTTCCCCCCTGTTTTTTTCTATACTTATTATTCAAATATATCAAAATACCTCACATATATGCTTTACTTGCATCCCACACCATTTCCATCGATGTACCCTTTTGCATATTCATAACAAAAAATTCTTTCATAAATTTTTTACACTCTTTAACATTTTCTTCATATCTAAACAAATTATCGTTTAACCTCCAGGACCTCCTAAGCCCCTTTCCATACTCCAGTTCCATCCAGACTGGACTATGGTCTGTCAATGTTCTTGAACAAATCTTCGTATTCTTCACCCTAGAAAAGAGGTCGTTAGTAATTAGTATAAAGTCAATCCTTGAAAAGGATTGATGTCTATCCGAAAAGAAAGTAAAATCTTTTTCGTCTGGGTTTCTTTCACGCCAAATATCCCTCAACTCCCAATCATCCATCATCTCCAAAAACGATTTGGGCAATCTTGCTTTTGCTGAAACATTTTGCTTAGGTCCCTTCTTGTCCTTTTTAACATCCAAAACACCATTCCAATCACCCGGTAGGATACAAGTTTTGTATCCCCATTGTGTCAACTTAGAATGTAGACAACTATAAAAATTTTCCTGTTGTTGCTTCGGGGCGTATACTCCAATTAAAAGTAATTTTTCTCCCTTTATTAAAAGTTCAATCGCTAAGAATCTTCCTTGATCATCTGCTTCAATTAATTTAGCAATTAAGTCTCTTTTCAAATATATAACTATACCATTTTTCTTCTGTGGTGCTGCTGCTACATAATGTGTACCTAATCTTGTATTTATTAAATATTTTTGATCTTCTATCCTAATATGAGTCTCTTGTAAACAAATTACGTCATTTTTAAATTGTTTAAGATAGTGAAATATTTTCCTCCTCTTCTGTGAAGAATTCAAACCATTAACATTCCAAGTTAAAAATCTAGTTCCCATTTTGGGCCTCTGAAGCATTTGGAGCATTTGCTGATGGTCAAATTTGACCTTTAGGTCTGGCTCCTCCCACTGCTTCTGTTTTCGTAGTTCCTTGAGTTGCCATCTGGAGTTGTTGCTGTCTTAATTCTTCCTTGCGTTTAGCTGTTGCTGCTATGGTCTGTTTTTGATCCTTTGGTTCTTCTGGTATATCAATTAAATCCAAATCTTGAACAGCTATCTGGATTTGTAGCAAATCTTCTTGACTGGTCGAGGCTCCCCCCAGGACCTCCAGATAAACAGTCATGTGAAAAAGAAAGTATACTTACCTTGACTTTAATGATTTTATGTATCAAGACATAGTAAAAATCAATTGGTCCTTAGAAGTTCTTAATAGTCAGTAAATACAACAATAGATGAACAACAACACATGAAATATTACATCAGGTCATCATTTATTTTATAAAAAGGAAGCCAAAACGGAGAAGTCATGTATGAAAAATGTATGATTCAATAATTTGTAGAACCACCTTTAGCAGCAACAACTAGAAGTAATTCTTTTCTGTGTGACTTTATCAGTCTCTTGCAGTGTTGTGGAGGAATTTTGGCCCAGTCTTTTTTATAACATTGCTTCAGTTCATTGAGGTTTGAGGGTGTTTTTTTATGCACAACCCTCTTGAGGTCCTGCCAATTGGGTTGAGGTCTAGACTTTGACTGCAGCATCTTGATTCTTTTTCAGCCATTTTGTTGTAGATTTGCTGTTGTGTTTTGCGACCATTATCCTGTTGCATAATCCTTTGTCAGCCAAGCTTTAGCTATTGGTGTGATGGCCTCTGGCCCAATTGCATTATGGCCAACCATTTCCACTTTGGTCTGGTCTGTGCAAAGGACAGTGTTCCCGAAGTCCTGTGATTTCTTCAGATGCAACTTTGCAAACAACAGCCATGTGATATGACCTTTTTAGAGAGAAGAGGCTTTCTCCATTCAACCCTTCCAAATGAACCATACTTCTTCAGTATTTTTCTAATTCCATTGTTATGAATCTTAACATTTAACATGCTAACTGAAGCCTGTAGAGCAGGGGCATCAAACATGCGTCATCACGGCAAGATCATGTGACGTATCACAACTTTTTTCCCCTTCTTTAAACGTGGCTGTGGCCAGTGTGTGACCCATCTGGCCCACAGGCCACTAGTTTGACAGCCCTGCTGTAGAGTCTGAGATATAACTCTTTGCAATTTCTCTGGCCATTCCACCGTCTGACCTTGGGCTGAATTTCCTTGAACGTCCACTCCTGGGAAGATTAGCAACTCTCCTGAATGCTTTACGCTTGTCTTCCACACTGTAGAATGATGGGTTTTTAATTGTTTGGAAATGACCTTTTAAACCTTCCCAAATTGATGGGCAGCAACAATTTCTTCTCTAAGATCATTGCTAATTCTTTATTCTTTGGCATTGTGTTAACACACAACTCAGTGTCAGAGATAGATGTAATGATACTTGCTGATGATCAATTGATCAAGGGCATTTTATTAGCAGTACGTGGCTGCTACTTCCCCTCTTTATACTATGGAAGCAGTGAGAAATTTCCTAATGGTGAGAACAATTAACCAGCAGAACAGCTGGCCTTCAGAAGTTGTGGTGCTCATCACTGGAGGCTTTTCAGAAGAGATGAGACAGCCATTTGTCTGAAATGATATAGGGTGACCTCCAAGGTCCCTTCCAATTCTGTTATTCTGTTGCGATGATATTTATGATACCCTGTACGTGGCTGCTACTTCCCCTCTTTATACTATGGAAGCAGTGAGAAATTTCCTAATGGTGAGAACAATTAACCAGCAGTTAATTCAGAAGTTGTGGTGCTCCATCACTGGAGGCTTTTCAGAAGAGATGAGACAGCCATTTGTCTGAAATGATATAGGGTGACCTCCAAGGTCCCTTCCAATTCTGTTATTCTCTTCTGTTCTGTTGCGATATTTATGATACCCTGATAAGTAAAACCACAAGAAATCAAAGCAGGTGTAGTTTCTTTTTCAATTGATTGTATTTGAAAACAACCCTTTGCATTGCTAAGAATTTGTGATTGACTGAAATCAACAATCGAATTAGAATCATTGAATGGATATTCGAACTTGGATCTGGGTGGTCTTCCATGTGTCAATTGAATCATGATCAATGTAACAGCTTATTGGAGCAATGTGGCATGTTTGCTTTTTCATTATAATGTAAACTTTTTTCTTCTTTTCTCATCTTCTGCAACCATTTTATGCACAATTAAAGATACACTTTTATTTGAATCTTATAGACAAAGAAGATGGCAATGAGCACTCTGGACAACTGAGGATAACAAACAACTTTGAATAGCAAAACAAGTCAGTCCAGAAATCAAAATATTTTCCATTTCCTTCAGAGAGTCCCCCAGCAGGTGAGAGAGAAATGAGAGAAAATCAAGAAGAGATTTCTAACTGGAAAAATAGAGTGTGAATTTAAAGCATACGTTACATGAAAAGTCAAGGGAGATTATTTTTCCATTCAGGAAAAGAGGGAAATATCTGGAAGTTACTGGGGAGGAAGCCATGTAGAGCAGACAGTGTTGCAGGCCTCGCTCTGGGAGGAAGAAAATCACCAGTAAATCAAAGCAGCACTAAAGGGATTATCCATATTTTTGACCACCTCAAGAATATTAGTTGTGGAAAAGCTCCATAGACGTTTCTGTTCTGGGAAAGATACAACTTGCAAATCACAGCTGATTATGCCAGAGGGAATCCAGACTGGAGAAAAACCGTACAAATACTCTGAATGTGGCAAAAGCTTTGGTCAGAACAACTCCATTTTCTTTCATGGAAGGACCCACACAAGAGAGAAGCCCTACAAATGTTCCCAATGCGGTAAATGCTTTAGCAAGCATGGCAACGTGGATTCACACCAAGGAGAAACCCTTTGAATGTCCTGACTGTGGGAAAAGTTTCAGTCAAAATTCGAACCTCATTGGCCACCAGAGGATTCACACAGGAGAGAAACCCTTTGAGTGTCCTGACTGTGGGAAAAATTTCAGTCGGAATTCGAACCTCATTGGCCACCAGAGGATTCACACAGGAGAAAAACCCTTTAAATGTCCTGACTGTGGGAAAAGTTTCAGTCATAATTCCAGCCTGGTTCAGTACCAGATGACTCATACAGGAGGGAAACTGTACGAGTTTCCAGACTGTAGGACAAGTTTCAGTCAGAATTCCAGCCTGGTTCAGTACCAGATGACTCACACAGGAGAGAAACGCTTGAAATGTCCTGACTGTGGGAAAAGTTTCAGTCAGAATTCTAGTCTGATTAAACACCATAGGATTCACACAGGAGTGAAACCCTTTGAATGTCCTGACTGTGGGAAAAGTTTCAGTCAGAATTCCAGCCTGGTTCAACATCAGAGAGTTCACACAGGAGAGAAACCCTTTGCATGTCCTGACTGTGGGAAATGTTTCAGTCAGAATTCTAGCCTGGTTCAACACCAGACAACTCATACAGGAGAGAAACCCTTTGAATGTCCTGACTGTGGGAAAAGTTTCAGTCAAAATTCCAGCCTGGTTCAACATCAGAGGATTCACACAGGAGAGAAACCCTTTGAATGTCCTGACTGTGGGAAAAGTTTCAGTCATAATTCCAGCCTGGTTCAACACCAGAGGACTCATACAGGAGTGAAACCCTTTGAATGTCCTGACTGTGGGAAAAGTTTTAGTCAGAATTCCACCCTTGTTCAACACCAGCGGATTCACACAGGAGAGAAACCCTTTGAATGTTCCGATTGTGGTAAAAGTTTCAGTCAGAATTCCACCCTGGTTCAACACCAGCGGATTCACACAGGAGAGAAACCCTTTGAATGTTCCGATTGTGGTAAAAGTTTCAGTAACAACTCCAACCTGGTGAAACACCAGAGGACTCATACAGGAGAGAAACCCTTTGAATGTCCTGACTGTGGGAAAAGTTTCAGTCAGAATTCCAGCCTGGTTCAACATCAGAGGACTCATACAGGAGAGAAACCCTTTGAATGTCCTGATTGTGGGAAAAGTTTCAGTCATAATTCCAGTCTGAGTAAACATCAGAGGACTCACACAGGAGGGAAACTGTACGAGTTTCCAGACTGTGGGAAACATCTCAGTACTAGGGTTAATATTATGAATCACGTCCTTATACACAAAGGGGAGAAACCGTTTTAGTGTCCCGAGTGTGGACAGTGCTTCAGGAAATATTCCACCCTTATTGCTCACAGAAAAATCCACATGATGGCCAAATGATAAGTGTAGAGAAGGCTTCAATTTCATTTCTGGTGTCCCATTGTAAATCCAGCTGAGATATTGATCATTTAAATTGATTAAATTAATTAGAATTTACCTGATTTTTTGTAGGCAAATATGTAATGGTATTAGATGGGACAGAGGAAAGAAAAAGTTGGAACATATTACTTTGTTGTTATTTTTTTAATATACTTTATTAAATTTTCCATTATATAAAAAAAAATATACAATCTCTATTTCCTTCAGAGGTACAGTGTTTATACAATTTACGGAATCATACGTTAAATAAACTTCATCCTTAGCTGTTCAATATTCTATGCAATATAGCTCGTACTTCGAGTACATAACAAGTCATATCCTAAAATCATGTTTTTGTCTTGTTCTTTAACCAATTGTACCAATTTCCCCATACTTCATAATATTTAGATTTCTCCTCATTATTTATCTCACTCGTCAATTTTGCCATTTCTGCGCACTCTAGGATTTTATTTATTAGTATTTCTTCTGAGGGTATGGATTTATTTTTCCAGTATTTCGCAAAGGCTAGTCTAGCCGCAGTTATAATCTGGATTATGAGTTGAGTTTTGTTTTTATTGAGGCCGTCTCCGATTATACCCAGGAGGAAGATTTCTGGAGATAGAACTATTTCCTGTCCCGTTATTTCACAAAGCCAATATCGGATTTTTGACCAGAACCTTTTGGTCTCTGGACAGGTCCACCATAGATGATAGAAGGTGCCGACCGTTTTTCCACATTTCCAACACGTGGCTGAGAGATTGGGAAACATTTTCGCTAACCTAGCTGGTGCTAGATACCACCTGTGTAGCATTGTATAATGGTTTTCTCTAAATGTTGCTGATTTCATCATTTTATAATTCCTATTCCAGGCCCTCCCAGTCATTAAAGTTTAATCTGTCTCCCAGGTTTTTTTCCAAAATATTTAGCTGATTTTTTGCTATAATCTCTGCCCTATCCTCATCTAATAAGAAGTTATATATTTTTGCTAGCATTTTCTTGTCTATTCCCCAAATAATTTTATCAAAATTTCCATATTTAGCTTCAAAAGTTGGAACATATTACTTTGATAATAGCTATCTGGCCTTCAGCATAAGAAGTTGCTGGATATTTATTTTTGTAGAAATTGGGCAATTATGTAAAACCCACCAAACTTCTTGAATTGGAGTCAAAAGTTGCTTCCCTCCTCCTGCACCTATAAATTCCCTGTGACTTCTCTGAGGAAACACTGTTGATGGTGGGAGGCTCCCAGAACAACAAGCAAGCAAGAAGGACATCAAGTATGCTGCAGAAAAAGTTTACTCAAATCTTTTTGGAGTGGCACTCAATGTCTGGCGATTTAATGGATTAGTTATTACAGGTTTATTGACAGCAACACACAAACTGTCATTTCCTTCTTCAGTGTGTTTTCTCTCCCGCCCTCCCTCTCTCTCTCTCTCTCTCTCTCTCTCTCTCTCACACACACACACACAGACCTCACTGAGAGCAACCTGATTACTTCCTGGCAGTCAATGGGGGAGAAGAGAGGTAAAAAAAAAAGCATAAAGTAAGGGAATATTGTGGCCAAAACATGCCTCATCTAAAGCAACCAATCACTTTGAAGATTCAACATATATTAAGCATTCAAACAATCACTGTGCACAGTGGATTCCAGCAAAGCATTGGCAGCTTTCTGAGCAGCCCTGACCTAAAGCAGAACCGCAGCTTATATATACCGTTGGCCCACTACATTAGAAAGATGTAGAAACAGGCAAGCACCCTATAGAGTACAGCATGACGTTGGAATATTTTTGATAATCTCATTATTTCTCCCTGCCTACAAGGTCCGCAGGGCAACTATGCGCTCTGTGAGATACGGTCAGGGAATATAAACATTTTGACCAGTGGTGGGTTGCTACCGGTTTGCTCCAGATCAGGCAAAGTGGTAGAGCGAGAGGCTCCACTCACCCGGACGTCTCTGCGCATGCACAGAAGCAGCCTGCGTCCGCACAAGCGAACCGTTAGTGAACAGAATTGAAACCCACTACTGATTTTGACCCACTGGTCCAGAAATTCCAGTCTGATTCTTCCCCCTGTGCCCATGCAGGCCCAGTTCAGCTTGTTGTCAATGTTTACTTACAACAAGACTTTAAGCTCTCTACAACTATTGGGGTGCAGGAGCATCTCTAGAGGTTTGCTAGTGAATGTAACTGTCTAGCTTCCTAACTGCGTGTCCAGGAGACGTCGGATAAACATACGCTGCCAAGTCTTAGTTGCTGTAAGCGGTTTATTTCAAACGGTCGCTAGCACCGTCAGTAGCGAAGAAAACAATTAATGCAAAAGGCATACAAAGTCGGCGTTGGGAGCAGCCGCCTTCCAACGCCTTTTAAACCCACGCGCCCAATAATTACATTGGCTCACACGCCCTTCCGGATAGAGCACCCGCCCCTGCATGAGTCAGCAATTGCAGCAAAGCAGTTAAACAGAAACCTAGCTCCGACCGCAGCGTGACCGGCCGCCTACTAATTATGCTAAACACCCACCACCACCTGTGTAAACAACCACCCCACCCGACACCCCATCCGCCGATCCAAGTAGGTAGAACAGCGGGGTCAACTTCATGTGCATAGCGCCAGGATCCGCAGCTGCCACCATCCCGCTGAGTGGCGAGGGGATCTCGACAGGCGGCTCCCCCTACCAGGTGTCCTCCTGGAAGATATAACAATCCACCGTTAATATTGTATTAGGGTTTTATATCTGTACCCCAAGGCCCTGGTTTATGTGGATATTTTCGATGGAACTGATTAACCAACCGGTTAGCCCGCAAATTCGTAGCCCTAACCCATGATGATTCCTCAAACGGATAACCCTTCCACTTGATTAAATACTTTAGGACTCCCCTACTGAGCTTTGAGTCTAATACATCCTCAACCTCATAATGATCCCCTTCTACCGGGCCTGGTCTTAATGTCTGGTTGCTAATGACACCTAGTGGTTTTAACAAACTACTATGAAACACGGGGTGGACCTTCCCCAGCAATGGCGGTAGTTTTAATTCCACTGTAACGGGGTTAATCACTTTTACTACAGGGAAGGGCCCTAAATATTTGGGGCCCAATTTACGACTCGGTGTTCGTAGTTTGAGATATTTTGTAGACAAGTAACCTAAATCCCCAACTACAAATGGTTTGTGGTCTGCTCTTCTTTTGTTGGCTTGGTATTTATAGATTTTAGTTGCTTTGTCCAACGCCTCTTTTATTTGGGGCCAAAGACTTCGAACACGAGCAGCCCAACTACCTGGTGACACCTTATCTGGGTTCTGGAGAGCTAACTCGGGGATCACAGGAAGGTTTTTTCCTGAAACAGCCTGAAATGGTGTAATACCCGTACTGCCGTGAACAGTATTATTATACGCCACTTCTGCAAAGGGGAGTAACTCTGACCAATCCGATTGCTGATATGATACGTAACAACGTAAATACCTTTCCACCATGGCGTTTGTTCTTTCTGCTGCTCCATTGGTGCTAGGATGGAAACCCGAACTCAGACCCTGTGACGAGCCTATCATTTTCATGAAACTACGCCAAAATACCGAGGTGAATTGTACACCTCTGTCGGAAATAATGCGTCGGGGTGCTCCATGCAGTCGATATACGTGCCATATAAACAATTTCGCCAGCTTTCGAGCTGATGGTAAGCCATGACACGGGATAAAATGAGCCTGCTTGGAAAATAGATCAACCACGGTCCATATCACCGTATTGCCATTGCTCTCTGGGAGATCTACAATAAAATCCATTCCGATCTCCTCCCAGGGACTATTTGGTTCTGCCACCGACTGTAAAAGGCCAAGAGGCTTTCCTGGTCGAGGTTTAGCCATCGCACATACTTTACACCCCTTTACATACTGTTCGACCTCTTTCCTTATACGTGGCCACCAAAATTGGCGTCGTACTAGGTGTAACGTTTTAAGAAATCCGAAGTGTCCTGCCGTTTTCGCATCGTGACATTTATTTAATACTGACTGCCTTAAGGCTTCAGGAACATATAACTTGGTCCCTACCCAAGCTAAACCATCTCGACATGTTACCCTAGTGTCGTGGTTTTTCAACCAGGTATCCGTAGCCACCTCTCGACGTAGCTCATCTTCCCATGAGGACAAAGATCTGGTACGTGCCGTTTGGGCCCACTGTTCTTACCAGGGATCATGGCTTGTACGACTTCTTCCCTTTTACTGTCAAACTGTGGGAGCCGTGATAAAGCATCTGCTAGGAAGTTCTTCCCTCCCGGCACATACTTAAGTTCAAAATTGAATCTTTGGAAATACTGCGCCCAACGTACTTGTTTAGGCGACAAGCGTCTGGGGCTTTGGAGTGCTTCGAGATTTTTATGGTCCGTCCATACTTCGAATCTGGTACCAGTGCCCTCCAACAAATGCCTCCAGGTAAAGTAGCGCCCACCTTACAGTGAAGGCCTCTTTCTCCCAAATAGCCCACCTTCGTTCTGTTAGTGTCAGTTTGCGGGACGTATAAGCGCACGGGTGTAACACCCCGTCACTGGTTCTCTGCAATAACACAGCGCCCACGGCAACGTCGCTAGCGTCAGCTTGTACAACAAACGGCAAGGTCGAATCAGGATGCCGTAATATTGGTGATTGCGAGAACAGGATTTTTAAACTGTCAAAAGCCTTTTGACAATCCGGAGTCCACACTAATAGCTGTCCTGGTCTTGCTCTCAGGCCCGAGCTTTTCGTACGGAGCAAATCGGTCAAAGGGAGAGCTATCTGAGCGAACGCGGGGATGAACTGTCTATAAAAATTGGCAAAGCCAAGGAAGCTTTGCAATTGTTTTTGTGTTTTAGGAGCTTGCCAATCTAATACCGTATCTACTTTTTTAGGATCCATTTCCACTCCGTTTTCTGAAATACGATAGCCCAAATAGTCCAGCCTAGTGCGGTGGAATTCGCATTTTGATAGTTTGACGAAAAGTTTTGCCCGTAACAATTTCCTCAAGACTTGTTTCACTAATTCTGTATGTTCCTCCATTGTCCTGGTATAAATTAGGATATCGTCCAGATAGACCAGGACACCTCGGTATAAGTGTTCATGCAATACTTCGTTTATGACCTGCATGAAAACAGCAGGAGCGCCTTGCAGGCCGAAGGGCATCACTCTAAATTTATAGCTCCCTAAAGGGCAGTTGAACGTGGTCTTCCACTCATCGCCTGGTTTTATACGCACTCTGTAATACGCCTCCCTTAGGTCTAACTTTGTAAACACACGCCTGGTCGATAGAGTGGCCAGTACATCTTTCATTAATGGGAGAGGGTAAAGATGTTCGACACATACGGCGTTCAAACCCCGGAAGTCCACACACAGACGTAAACCGCCGTCCTTTTTTTCACGGAACAGAACAGGAGCGGCCATGCGTGACCTACTAGGTTGAATGAAGCCCCTAGCCAGGTTCTTATCTATATAGCGTCTGAGTTCCTCCAACTCTGGCTTTGTCATAGCATACATTTGCGGCTTTGGCAATTTAACCCCTGGCTTTAATTCTATAGCACAATCAGTCGCTCTGTGAGGAGGCAGTACTTCACACTCCTCCTCATTGAATACCTCTGCTAGATCCCTATATATGTCAGGATATCCTTGTTTTGATGCGTCGGCTGGAGTATCTCTCTGCAACCCCGCGCGCCCGACCCCTGTCTCTGGTTCTGGTTCTGGGCCGAGACTTAGACTTACGTGTCGATAACCGCCCTCCCACCATATATTGGGCCTCCATTTATCTAACCATGCTAAACCTAGGATGATAGGTTCCACTATTGTGTCCACAATGACGAAACGAATGTGTTCCCAATGCTCCCCTATCTCTAAGCGCACTAACTCGGTAACCCGTGTTGCAGCCTTTCCACCCAATAAAGAACCATCCATCTGCTCAAAGCGAATGGGAGCTGGTAACTTCGCTGACTGCAAACCCAATTCCCTGGCCAGACTCTTCCGAATGAGACACCGGGTACACCCTGAATCTATCAGGGCGTCCTGTTTGATGGCTCGTGTAGTCCATAGGTGTCTCAGAGTAACTGGGATGACAAATGGGCGTACAGGGTCACTTACCATAGAATCAATCGGAGCGTCCTCATCGCTGCTATCCGGAACCAATGGAACGCTGTCTCGGTGAGTCGGACTTCCTGCCTCTCCACTCGTCCCCCGGGCACCCCGTATCGTCGTGGGTGTTCCCACTCTGGACCTCTCTGATGACGAACGTGCTCGTTCACGCCCTCTCCCAGTCGGCTGTGGCCCACGGGTGGTGGTCGGCATAGGGGGTACGGGACAATCAGCTACCCGATGCCCCAACTGATTACACCTGAAGCAGCGAATCGACCCCCTCCCCACAGGGACCAGAGAACGAGGCGGGGAGGTGTTCGCCCCTCTGGGGCTTCCCGGTCTTTCCGTGGCCCGACGAGGGGGAAAAGGAAGGCTACTCACACCCCGGGTACGAAACTCACGTAGTCCGACATCTAAATCCACAGCTGCACTGAACCACTCTGACAGCTTAGGCGGTAGTCCCCGATAAACACATGCTTGCCATAGTTCTCTATCCAGCCCGAGACGGAATTGATGTACTAAGAGACGTTCAGGCCACGTACGGAGGCGACCGGCCACCGTGCGAAATTCTTTAACATACTGTCTCGCCGGTCTACCCCCCTGTTTTATGGCCACCAATTCGCTTTCAAGCAACTGTGTTCTGGACTGGTCTTCAAACCGGCAGCGTAACGCTTCTAGAAAGAGTCCCACATTTGCCAGCTCTTTAGCGTGGTCGCTATGTAAATCAGCAACCCAATCTGCAGCCTCACCTGTTAGAACGGTGGTAATAGCCACCGCCATGGCCCACTGGGACGGATAGAGACGCCCGTAGAGATCCATGTAACTTAGTATTTGACTCAAGAATAAAGAGACCCTGTCGGCACTCCCATCGAATGTGGCCTGTATGGGGGGAGGCCCCCAGAGTTGTTGTTGCTGTTGCGGGGCGCCCACCCCCGGCATCCACAGCGGGGTTGGGGCCCTCGGCCGGGTATCCTGGAAAGCCCCTCTTTGCTGAGGGAGAGGGCCGCGGGGCCCCCCTTGACCCGCCTGTTGGGAGCCAGACTGTTGGAAGGCTTCCTGGTCCCCCCCACGCACAGACCCCCCCACCGGGGTTGCGGAACCAGAAGCTGGGGATGGACCTCTCCTATCAGGTCTGTACACCCCCCTCTCAATGCGGAGCTTCGGGCTTGCTAACTGGAACCGAGCCCCGGAACTGCTCCGGGTCTCTCCATGACTCTGCCATGGCTCATGCGACGGCGCCCACGGTTGCCAGGAGGGGGCATCTCGAAAGCTCCCTTCTCCAAACTTTTCACGCAGCACATCCAGGGTGGAGGCTCCTAGACCCGAAGAATGGCTCCAATCACACTCCTCGTCGTCCAACCACCGTCGCTCTCTCCACCCCTGGAAAGACGTGTCCCCTGACTGTGCTGAGAGCGGCCTTGGGGCGGTGAGGGCGGAGCTCTGCCACCACTCACCTAACTCTGGTCTTGTTCCGCCGGAGCCGACAGCCTTGCCTTCAACAGATGCGGCATCCCCCTGTACCAGCTTCTCCTTCGGGCGAACGACCATCACCTCCCCCTCCTCAGCTGCTTGAGCACCGGGTGCAGCCTCCACCACGGTGTCCTCTGCCGTATCTTCCTCTATCGCCGATGTCCCGGCCGTCGTGCCTTCCGCCATTCCGGGTGCAACACCAACGAGACAGCCCAGCGAAAAGGAGGATGAAAACGCCGACTTTCTGTCTAGCTTCCTAACTGCGTGTCCAGGAGACGTCGGATAAACATATGCTGCCAAGTCTTAGTTGCTGTAAGCGGTTTATTTCAAACGGTCACTAGCACCGTCAGTAGCGAAGAAAACAATTAATGCAAAAGGCATACAAAGTCGGCGTTGGGAGCAGCCGCCTTCCAACGCCTTTTAAACCCACGCGCCCAATAATTACATTGGCTCACACGCCCTTCCGGATAGAGCACCCGCCCCTGCATGAGTCAGCAATTGCAGCAAAGCAGTTAAACAGAAACCTAGCTCCGACCGCAGCGTGACCGGCCGCCTACTAATTATGCTAAACACCCACCACCACCTGTGTAAACAACCACCCCGCCCGACGCCCCGTCCGCCGATCCAAGTAGGTAGAACAGCGGGGTCAACTTCATGTGCATAGCGCCAGGATCCGCAGCTGCCACCATCCCGCTGAGTGGCGAGGGGATCTCGACAGTAACTCAGTGGTCTGTATGGATAATCACTGGGGACTTTCCATGACTGAATGGAGAACAGAAACTCTACCTCCCTGCTCTTAACCCAGCACAATATCCACCCTAACCAATGCCCTCCCTATTCTCAGACTGAAGAAAATGGCCTTGGGAGCAGTGGTGGGTTGCTCCTGGTTTGGTCCGGTTCCTGCGAACCGGTAGTAAAAGCGGCGGGAGGCTCTGCCCATCTGCCCGGATGTCAGGATGGACAATCTGTGTCTGCACAGAAGCTTTTGCACATTGCAAACCGGTAGTAAAGGTAACTAGAACCCACCCCTGCTTGGGAGATATGCAAACTCCATTACTAAAGAGGTGAAGGGGAAACATCTCCCAAGTCCACAGCACATGGATCCTATTTAGAAGAGACTCAGACAGACTCCTCCCTAATTCACAGGAGTATAAGAAGGGAGGAGAAGGTACAAAGAAGATACTTTACATGTGTTTTCACCCAAAAAGAAAACATGACACAACTTATGAAAAACAGAATCATAAGTGCCAGATTAGGAATGCAAATTAAAATATGGAAAAATAAGGTAAGGGAACACCTGTTGGCTCTAGACAAATTCAAATCACTGGGTCAGGATGGACTGCAGCCAGAATTTTACTGCAACTAATAAATGTGATTTCAGAACCATTGTAACATACTGTATGTTTGAAAGTCCTTGGAGCAGGGGGAACTAGAAGTAGTCCTCAACTTACAATAGTTAATTTGGTGACCGTAGTTACAATGACACTGAAAAAAATGATTTATGATCATTTATCACACTTATGACCGTTGTAGCATCCCCCTGGTCTTGTGATTTACATTCAGATGTTTGACAACTGACCTTTATGACAGTTGTAGTGTCCCGGAGTCATGTGATCCCCTTTTGTGACATGCTATCAACCAAACTCAATGGGGAAACCAGATTCACTTAACAAGTTTTTCGCTTAACAACATAAATTTTGGACTCAATTGTGGTTGTAAGTTCAGGACTACCTGTAACTGAGGACTGGAAAAGAGCTGATAGGGTCCCCATCTTCAAAAAGGTAAAAAACATGCAGGAATTTACAGACAAATCAGCCTGACATTAATATCTTGGAAA